AGCCAAGTGGAAGGCGCAGAGCTGAGGCAGCAACCTTCGGAAAGACAGACACACGACAGTTGGTCGAGGTCGGGCGACCTCACAAGAAAAGGCTTTCCTCCTCCTTCCATCGGTGCCCTCATCGGTCCGCCTCATCTTCGATAGCCTTTGGGACATGGAAATGCAAAGTATACGGCAGGTATCTTACCCTAAGTCGGTTCGTTCGTGTGCCCCTCGTTGCTTCCCCCACAGAAGACAGAACAGGGTTTCGAGATAAGAGAAAGATTAGTTCTAACATTGTATAAATTGATTGATGGTTGGCACTGGCGTTGCATTCAAAATAGTTAACGGCTGAGCTCGACGGTGACACGGATCGCTGTGCGTATATCGCGCCCCGCTGTTGGCCGGCCACGCCTTGCCGCTTCTCACGACCGTGCTGCCTCATGCAGCATCACAGCGTCACGCCTACACACCGCATCACACGGTTGCCGGGCATCTCACTTCCTTCCGTGCTTCATCTGAAACTTCACTGAAGGACAACTCGCTAAGCTAAGCTACATGCAGACTCAAACTTAACATGCTAATACAAATATAAAGATTAGTTCTAACATTGTATAGATTGATTGATGGTTGGCACTGGCGTTGCATTCAAAATAGTTAACGGCTGAGCTCGACGGTGACACGGATCGCTGTGCGTATATGACACGGATTGTGGTGAATCCTGCCCCCTTTTTTTGCCTTTGAGATTTGTGATGGGTGAACTTGTGGAATTTTCACGACACGAGACTGCATGCATGCAGAGGTTGCCCCACCTCTTTTCTTTTCCAAACTTTCAATCTACTCTCATAGCAGTACAAAGAACACAAGAAATGATAAAAATTATAACCAGACCAATGGACCACCTAGCGACGATTATAAGCACTAGAGCGAGGCGAAGACGCGCCGGTAGTAGACAGTCGGAAAGTCGTCGTGCTACAGACTCTAATTCTTGTGGTTGTACTTTAGCGTTATTTACTTCTTCCATATAATCACTCGTTTCAGCATGCATGCATAGTTTAGCCCATGCACCACCTCTGCTTTTTTTCTAGCTAACAATCACTGATATAAATAATCTGACCCATCTCCATTAATAAGACAGTAGCATATGAAGTAGCTGGCTTAGACCGTGATCCTTTTACTGTGTTATTTGTGATATTTTCTACAAATGTTTTGCCGTGTTATTCTGATCCTTTTGCTGTGTTGTTTTTCTACACCACAGGTTAAAATATCCAATCCAAGGTGGAGTATATTTCTAGTTTTTTCGAAACGGAGGCAAAAGATTTGCCTCATTCATTAAATAAGAGAGAAGTGTTTTAGAGTGTTACAAATGATCCGTATGCCCGGCATGGCAACTACTCGCGCACAAGAATACACCCCAGTTTTTTAGCTCCCACGATAATCCAAACCTTGACGTCGTTGATGATAGCACGGAGAAGGGCCGGAGGCGGTGTGCTCTTGTGTCGGAAGACCCGAGCATTACGCTCGCTCCAGATCGTCCAAGAGACTAGCACACCATAAGGCTATGGAACTCGGTCATCCTTGAATTTGGTCTAGCACACATGGACACCTCCTCTTGGCATTTGGATGGATCCGTTTTGGAATGGTGGGAAAAGCGAACCTGCTTGCAAAACCCAAACCGACGAGCCCTGGCCTCACTTACATTGCTATATTTCTAGTTGAAGTCTAAATATTTTGGCTTCTGCACATGTCCTAGAAACAACAAATTTTAGGGGAGTGGGCGGTTACATTTGTTTCAGATGTCCTACAAAGGATGTGTTGCTATGCCATAATGTTATTGTCATTTTTTAAACTTTTATGCATGACTCACTATTTTGTTTGCAGGATGTCTCGAACCAAGTGTGCAGCTCGAAAGTCCACCAAAGGAAAGGCTCCCACGAAGCACCTTAGGGCTTTCTATGTAATATTTCGTAGTGTTTGTCTTTACTATTTGCATTACTAAATAATAATACTGCAAAAAATACGATAGTTGTTAGTTTATATGTCATAGTTGTTAATTTGTTTGACAATAACTTTATTATTGGTTTTGCAATGATAAGCAGCAGCTCGTAAAACCGCTCCAGCAACTGGAGGAGTGAAGAAGCCCCGCAGATACCGTCTTTGAACTGTTGCTATTCGGTATGTGCAACATATACATTTTAGGACATGTAGTATTATGATAACACCTTGTGAGGTTCTTATCATTCATACATGTGCTTTTGTAGTGAAATTCGCAAGTATCAGAAGGGTAGCGAGCTGCTCATAAGGAAACTACCTTCTCAAAGGCTCGTGAGGGAGATTGCTCAAGTTTTCAAGGTACTTTTGCAGGGCTTGCTTGACATACACTCGAATCTGGCGCGATCCCTTTCGAAAATATCCATGTATATAAGTCACGTTAGGTGTTTCAGAAAAAAATCTCTAATGCAGTTTAATTAAATAATAAAAATTTCTCCTTATGATGCTTTTCTTTGGTCTTTTGTGCTACATCTACAGATTGATCTTTGCTTCCAGAGCCATGCAATGCTTGCTTTACAGGAGGCGGCCGAAGCATACCTCTTGGGACAGTTTGAGGACACCAATCTTTGTGCCGTCCATGCGAAGCGTGTGACCATAATGTCCAAAGATGTTCATCTGGCTAGAAGGATCCGTAGCGAGAGGCTGTAATTCTCCTAAGCAGATGGATCAACCCCAACTTGCAACTTGCATGTTGCTTCCTATATGATTTTCGGGTTTATCAAGAACAACAGACAACATCTTTGATTTGCTGTGGATGTTAAACTATTATTATTGAGGATCGTAGCAGAAATTTAAAATTTTCTACGCATCACCAAGATCAATCTATGAAGTAATCTAGCAACGAGGGGGAGGGGAGTGCATCTACATACCCTTGTAGATCGCTAAGCGGAAGCGTTACTAGAACGGGGATGAGGTAGTCGTACTCGTAGCGATTCAGATCGCGGTCGATTCCGATCTAAGCGCCGAACAACGGCGCCTCCGCGTTCAACACACGTGCAGCCCGGTGACGTCTCCCATGCCTTGATCCAGCAAGGAGAGAGGGAGAGGTTGGGGAAGACTCCATCCAGCAGCAGCACGACGGCGTGGTGGTGGTGGAGGAGCGCAGTACTCCAGCAGGGCTTCGCCAAGCACTACGAGAGACAAGGAGGGAGAGAGGTAGGGCTGCGCCTTGGGAGAGAGAGAGACTCGTGTGTTGTGCAGCCCCAAAACCTGCACTATATATAGGGGCAAGGGCAAGGGGAGGCGCCCTAGGGTTTCCCCTAGGGGGGCGGCGGCCAGGGCAGATGGGATCTCCCCCTTGGGTGACTTGGCCCCCAAGCCAGGAGGTGGGAACTCTAGATGAGGCGCCCCAAACCCCCTGGTCACGTGGGAATAGGTGAGGGGGGGCGCACAGCCCCTTAGTGGGCTGGTTTGCCCCCTTCCCTTGGCCCATGAAACCCCCCAACACTTGTCGGGGCTCCCGAAACACCTTTCGGTCATGCTGGTCATCACCCGGTACCTCCGGAACACTTCCGGACTCCAAAACCCTTAGTCCAATATGTCAATCTTCACCTCCGGACCATTCTCGAACTACTCGTGACGTCCGGGATCTCATCCAGGACTCCGAACAACATTCGGTAACCGCGTACGTACTTTCCCTATAACCCTAGCGTCATCGAACCTTAAGTGTGTAGACATGACTGAAAC